GGCCTCTGAGACACAGAAACGCTATTACCTCCATCTTCTCCACAGAAGTGCCACTAGACACCCACCCCAACTCTCTCTCTTGCTCATGAGAAGCATGGAGCTTGGAGCACAGCTGGGATCTCAGTAGGCTGACACCCTTCACATAGCATCCCAATGAGGATCATTCTCTGCTCTTGTATTCCTCCCTTGCAGAGTCCTCCCCCCTCACTGGACTATTATTAGTAAATGTGAATAAACCGCCTTCCAGTTCCAAAGACTTCACAAAACACCGAACAACACAACAGGCGGGAGTGCGAAACAACACCCTTCAGTGTTTCAGGGTAGTGATTTAGTAAGAAGGAAATACAGAAATGTCAGTCATTAAAAGATAGGAATTTCCTTGCAGAGTTCCCGATAACTTTTTATGAAGATAAAATATTTTTTTTCCCTGTTATGTTTCTCTTGCTATAAAGGCAAAGAGAACCCATAGGTCTCAACAGTTCTGAAAACAAAAGGAAGAGCCAAATTACTAAAGACCACTTGCTTGGTTAAAAAAGGTCACTATGACTGCTCATCAGAAGGTCACTGAGAAGCACAGTGATCACTGGTAAAGGACACACGGAAGTTCTCTGTGCATAGATTTAAAATTAACTCATACGAAGTTTTGCCACATGGCACATACACACAAATTCCTGTGAGGTTTTACCAGCCCTTTTGCAACATGTCTTCCCATTCGTTTTAAGCTACTTAATAATCTTTAGAGCTTGTCTTCCTCAGATTTCTGTATAGTCATCAATACCTTCTGAATCAATAAATCTCAGTGCTTGTAAGAAGTTCTCAGTGGGTATGCCTGTTGGGTGGATTTCATATGACCACATTTCACCAAGACTACTCAGTCACAGCTTAAACACAAGTGTGTGAGTCTTCCTGTTGATGACTCACTGGCTCAAATCAATGGGACCATTTGCATGTTTAAACCATATTATGTGGTCTTTTAATTCAGGTCTCAAAAAGGAAGCTTCCTCTGTACAAAAAGGAATGTAGAGACTGAATAGTGGGAGAAGGAAAAAAAAGCTTTGGGTGTTTTGTGACTGCCAGATGGATTTAGAAAATGAATAAACAAATTCCATGTTACTGTACAATGGCAGAAAGGACCTCAATAGAGATACAGGAAATAGCCTGTTTTACTGAAGAGAGAGGGAAAAAAGTAGGATTCCCAGGCCAGACACTTTTACCCAGGTAAATAACATGGAATGGAGAAATATGGGGAGGGGTATCTCCATTTCTTTCTAGTTTGCCATAATTTTGCATAAGACCTGAATCTACATTATTTCAGGAAAAACTTTGAATTTCAATGAGCAGGGCACTCTCACCCTTTTTCTGATTAGGAAAGATGTAAGTTTCCATGCGGCTGTTCTTGTGGTTTTAGAAAATCAGCAACCTTTCCTGTCGAAGTCAGCAAAAATCCATTAGTAGAGGAGGTGAGAAAGACAGTATTAGCGAACTGCTTTATGATGTATTTTTACATTCTTTTTAATGTTAAGCTTTGCTAAACCCGTTGTGTATAAGGGAATTCCAGATAGCCACTAAAAGAAAACCCTAACAAGTGGTTTTCCTGCTTCAGTATTGAAGTGGAAAGGAGACTTAACTGCAGAATCTGTGCTGCTGGTGCTATGTGGCTTAGTGAGGCAAAAAGAAGTCTATGTTAACAACTTGAGTGTAGTAAAAAATAAGCAGTTAATAGGAAAACCTCCTTATTTTAGCTTGATTTTTACAAAGGATAAAGAAAATACTTGTTCCTACCACAAGGAACCTCTTCATTCCCATTCTGTCATTTCATTTTATATGTCTCCTTTACTGGCCTGCATTTCATGACGGTCATTACCGCAGCACACAAGCTCCTGCCTATATACTGCTGGTGACATGCAATCTTATGAAGATTGAGTACTACATAAAAAAGACAAGGCCACATCACTAGAAGGCTATAAGCATCTCTATGAGCTTATCAGTTGTTGCATAGACTATGTATTTTACAGAGGCAATTGTATTTCCATTTTCTTGAATTTCACACTGGAAAGTAACCAAATGTGTAACGCAGCAAGCTTCCATAATAGCTGAATCATTGGGAAGAATGTGCGCTTTCTAGCCCTATATAGTTTAAAAAAAAAAAAAAAAAGTTTGTATTTTTTCAAAGAGATCTGCAAAGATGAGTTGCATTGTCAGACACAAAGAAAAGTGCCTATTCTACTCCAATGGCTTTCAACCTGTCAGGACGTCTTGGCCCTTGAGAAAATTCCTCCTGTCTCTTCAGCACCTCCTCCTGGAACAACTGGGAAGGGCAACATGGTTGTGACTGACTTATATGCACTCACCAGCCACTAAGCCCCATTTTTCTGAAAAACCAGCAAACATTACTCTCTAAAATTATTGCTTCCCTCACCTAAACAGGAGCAAAGCCATGTGAGTCCTTGTGTTACCAACCTGCCTGTAAGAAATCAGGGTGTATTTGCATTATGACAGCAAAGGAAATAATCTGCCCAGAATTCTGTACATTTTAGCTGGACCATGTGGTAAACACATGCAGTATGCATTTTTTCTGCACAAAGTGGGGTTCAATGACTCACCTTGTTTGGAATTAACATCTTCCAAAGATATTTAAATCAATTTTCAGGAGGTATGTAAATCCAAGACATCTTCACGCAGGTAAGGCCCTCAGAAATTGGTATTCCCCCTGTAGCAGGAATTTTTAACAGGTACACCATGAACTATATGAAACATCTCTGTATAGATCATAAATGTCGTAATTCTTCAAATCATGGAATGTTACTTGGAAATTACCCTTTCCCTTAAAATTACTTAAAACACTTCTTCCTTGGTCTAATGTCTGCAATGAGGGACATAACAGAAAAACAGTATTTTACAGGGACTTAAAATCAAGTGCACATCAGTACAGAAATGAGATCTGAAATGTTACTGGATTTCTTAACAGGGTAATTGGAGGACGGACTGCAATCACTTCATTCTACCACACTAACAGAGAATAAGGATGTTTCCTTTGAATCAACTTATTTGTGCTAGATTACACTATCACAGTGTTCCACTCATATCTCCTGGCCCCCAGCATTCCTCCACACAGATAATACATTTTGCTTCAGTCCCAGGGCATCCACTGGTTAAGAGAACTTTTCAAATGCCAGTCTCCTGCGGGGGCGGGGGGATCTTTCATTCTTCATTTCTTCATTTCCTTCAAACTCTGTTTTCGCTTTCTCTTTCTTTATCCTGGATGTTAATACAATGTATCTATGAAATACCAGGCAAAACAGATCTTCTCAGAGTGCCTGCTAAAGCTATCCCATGTTGGTATCTAAGATTTCAAGACATCTACTTCTGTCAGACTCTGCACCCTAGGAAGCCAGATTCTTAGAATCATCATGTGTCAGAAACGAATTGAAAATGCATTCAAAACTTTTCTTACAGAAAAAGAATTTGAAAAGAAACTAGTGTATGTTCTGCAAAACAGTTTATTCACTTTAAATATCAAAGCATTCAGGCTCCTGGCCTTTAAATGCTCAAATCAGATGGCACAGGGAATACTGTACAGACTGCCAGCTCAGTCTGCCTTCATCTTGTGACTGAGTGTCTTCAACTCCCACCAAGGTCAACAGCAAATGAAGCCACTAAAAACCTCCTGGCACTGGGGCTGAGGAATCTGAAGTTACCCAGCAGTGACCAACAGTGAGTGATACAGAAGTACCACCAACAGCCTCCAAAATGAAGCCTCTCAGAGCACGGAGGCTGGTGGTCAGGGCTTGTCGTGAGAAATGGGTGAAATCAAGTGTTGACCACTAGGACTCCACCTGCATCATGGAGGGTCCCACTGAAGACAAAGAACAGGAGGTAACCTATCACAAATGTGTAAAGTTAAGGAAAATTCCTACACAGCATTGAAGGAAGCAAAAGAAATGTTCACTCTCACTATCAGGATTTCAATGGGAACATCCTAATTTTAACAATTATGAACAAATTCAAAACAAGTGCTAGAATTGTTTTTGCCAAAGAGTGTGTACACAGTTCATTGGAATGACATAGCTTGTGGGGGAGGTAGGAATAACATGTTTAGGCCCAGTAAACACTGAAGGTTTGGCCATTTTTCCAGAAGCATTTTGTTTACTAATAGGCATGGAAAGAGAAGAAAGAGGAGTTAACCCCCACCCTTGCAATAGAATAATAAATAGGAAATTGGTTTGAATATTGCAATTATGATGCATCTTCTGTCCTTAAATGTGTGTTATATAAACCAGTGGATTTCAGAATGTTTCAGAGATGTCATGTAACTCGTGAAACACTACTTCAAGTGACAGAGGAAGACAACATCACTTACTGAAAATGACACAAAATAAGGATCCTTCTCCACTCCAGAGAATGTCTCATCTCATGGATGCAGAGATGATCTTAAAGGTCTTTTCCAACTTAAATGACTCTATGATTCTACGAAATGGCAGCAATCTGACACTTTTATTAAAGGCATTCCTCTTTCTTCAGTGCCATGTAGTTTTTTTAGCTAACAAAAGACATGAAACCTATGAAAAGCCAAAAGGCTGGCTTGATAAAATCTGGGTGCTGGGCTAACTGTAGTCACATTCATCAGGAAAAATCTCACCATGTCTTATCTACGGGAATATTCAAATTTGGGCAGTATATCATACTCAAAGGGTTGATGGAAAAAAGCTCTTTTATTTAGATCTGCAAGTTCTTTTGGTACTCCTCTGCCTTTCTTTTTGGACAGCTTTTTCTTTCATTCCCATGTTTCCTTTCCCCACTTCTTAGTAGCTGCCAATGCTGACGGAATTAACCTACTGAGATGCTTTAACAAACGAAGTCTTAACTTCAGCAAGTCATACAAGCTAACCTAATAGTTGCACAATGTCCACAATGCAGTAAAATAAATTACCTAAATGAAATTAACCCTAGAGAAATGTAAATTAATAGACTGGGAGAGGGGTGGTGAAGAGGGATGACCCACAAAGAACTAAATAGTTAGCAATACAAAAACAGCAGTCATGACAGAAATCTGGAGGTAAGAGTGGCCAAAACCATCAGACCACAAAGACACTAAGGCAAAATTGAGGCAGGTATGACAAGACATCATTAACATACGCTTTAATGCCTCTCTAAACCTGGACTATGATTAGAGGAGCAATGGGTCTGAGCCACAGCATTACTGGGAAAAAATTTAAAAAATTAAGTCAGTTCAGAAAGCAAAAAATATAAAGGGCTAGATAGATGAATCTAGGGAATAAGAAGGACTATGAAGGAGACAGAGAGCTTACATCTTTACTGGAAGAACCAAGAAGCTACCTTTCAGCCTTTCAAGGGACAAACATGCCGTGCACTGAACAGCCCAAACCAATCTGAATTCCAGATATGAGATGACACCTTTTTCTTTTTTTGTAGAGCTTTCATTTCTTGATTCTTCAGCAAGATTATATAATTTTTTGAATTAAAGGGGTTAAACCTTTTGTATTGGGTCTGGCTGGGATGGAATTTACTTTCCCCACAGCAGCCTTGATAGTGCTGTGCATTGTGTTGGTAGCGGGAATGGTGTTTGATAACATATCAGTGTTTTGGCTACTGCTGAGCAGTGCTTGCACAGCATCAAGGCTGTATCTTCACACACCCCCCAAAGACCAGTAGGCTGGGGGTGAGCAAGAGGCTGGAAGGGGACACAGCCGAGACAGCTGATCCAAACTGGCCCAAAGGATATTCCATACCATATGACATCTTGCTCAGCGATAAAAGCTAACAGAAGGGGAGGGTGGCGGGGAGAGGGGCATTTTTATTAAGGTATTTTTCTTCCGAAGCAACCGCTGTGCATATTGAGGCCCTGCTTCCCAGAAAGTGGCTGGACATCACCTGATGATGGGAAGTAGGGAATAATTTTGTTTGTTTCCTTTACTTCTGTGCACAGCCTTTGCTTTTCTTTATTAAACTGCCTTTATCTCGACCCATGACCTTTTCATCTTATTTTCTAACCTAACCCTAACCCTGACCCACGGAGGACAGGAGCAATAGAGCAGCTTGGTGGGCATCTGGTATCCAGCCAAAGTTAACCCACTACAACAGTATCTCTGAGGGACCAAAGATAAAACTGAGACAAAATTTAGTGACATTCCCTGAAAATATATAACGTTTGAGACATCTGCTGGAGGGATGGGCCATAAGGAGAAGTTTCTTAGCATCCAAAAGATGTATGCATCAGAGGAAGGGAGGTTATTGAGAGTATGGGGATACATATATGGCATTGGTATACAGAACATAAAAGCTGATTCATAATTATGAAGTGAAGAAAGAGAAATATTAAAGTTCACAGAAGCATAAAACCCCTCCTAAACCCGTAATGTCCTAAGATGTGGAATAGGAGGGAATCAAGGAAGTTCTGTCATTGAAGATATGAAAAAGTGACAGGAAAAAATAAAAAAGCATATTCTAGGAAACGTCAGATTGATGGGGGTAAGAATGTGCCTCTCTTTTCTGTGGTGTTATGAGAATCACAGAATCACAGAATGTTAGGGGTTGGAAGGGACCTTGAAAGATCATCTAGTCCAAACCCCTTGCCAGAGCAGGACCACCTACAGTAGGTCACACAGGAACGCGTTCAGGCGGGTTTTGAATGTCTCCAGAGAAGGAGACTCCACAACCTCTCTGGGCAGCCTGTTCCAGTGCTCTGCCACCCTCACAGTGAAAAAGTTTTTCCTTATGTTAATGTGGAACCTCCTGTGCTCCAGCTTGCACCCATTGCCCCTTGTCCTGTCATTGGCCATCACTGAGAAGAGCCCGGCTCCATCCTCCCGACACTGGCCCTTTATGTATTTATAAACATTAATGAGGCCACCCCTCAGTCTCCTCTTCTCCAAGCTAAAGAGACCCAGCTCCCTCAGCCTTTCATTACAAGGGAGATGTTCCACCCCCTTAATCACCTGTGTGGCTCTGCGCTGGACTCTTTCAAGCAGTTCCCTGTCCTTCCTGAACTGAGGGGCCCAGAACTGGACACACTATTCTAGACGTGGTCTCACCAGGGCAGAGTAGAGGGAGGGAGGAGAACCTCTCTCGACCTACTGACCACAGCCCTTCTAATACACCCCAGGATGCCATTGGCCTTCTTGGCCACAAGGGCACCTTGCTGACTCATGGCCATCCTGCTGTCCACCAGGACCCCCAGGTCCCTTTCCCCTACGCTACTCTCGTAACAGCTCAGACTTCAACCCATGCTGGTACATTGAGTTGTTCTTTCCCAGATGCAAGACTCTACACTTGCCCTTGTTGTATTTCATTAAATTTCTCCCCGCCCAGCTCTCCAGCCTGTCTAGGTCTCACTGAATTTGTTCAGAAAAAAAAAATTAACAGCATTTCTGATTCAAGACTGCTTCCTAAGCAATATAATTACCACCTCACAGCAGTTTCTATCACCACCCCAAACGCAGAGACGTCATCTTAAGGCTCATCTCATTTTTCCTTTCTCCTTTCGTACTCCAGAATGATACCTCTCCTCTCCATTGCACAATTTATAAATTGTATAAATGTGGAATACAGAACAGGCTACTGCAGGCAGGCAATTTTTTGGCAATATTGTATGTGGGAAGACATCTGTGAGAAGCATCAGAAGATCTTTCATCTTCTGAACATCTCACAGATGTTCACAAATAGCGAAAATTGTTACTTTGGGGAAGGCAGCTCATGTGCCAATAAACGTAGGGAACTGGTTTAAAATAGGAGCTTGCAGGCTGTGAAATTAATAAAACAACAGATCTGACCTAAACTCCTAATGACAATCAGCCTGATTGTTTTTGTTAATTATAGTTATTGGCAATTGAAATCAATGAGAGGTGAACGAGGGCAGGCAAATTACAACTGCTAAATTGCTACAGTTAGCACTTTTTTTTTTTTTCCAAAACCAAATGACAGTATGTTTTATTCATCTGCTCTGCTACTTACCACATGTAACTGTGCATACTCCAAATTCTACTTCCGTGGACACAGTGGCATTCAGACCTGAACTCAAAGTCTGAAGTTACATCTCTAATAAAATGACAGGGGTGGAAATGCCCAATTAGCAGAAAACTCACTCCTTGAAGTCTTTACGCTTTTTAGTTGAAATGTGAAATTTGCCAACATTTCTGCTTTCACCAACTAGACCAGAAAAA